TAGATCAATGGACTTCATTATCGGTGGAGAATAACCTCGGCCGGATTCCGTGATCTGTAGCTTCTAGAATCGAAAGAAAATGGCATTTCGGATAAATCGCCCGAAATCTGTGATGGTACCCCTTTGGAATCTGCCAAAAATTGACCCGGAATACATCCGCCCAAATCGGTGCTTAATGGACTCAATCATCGTTGGAGAATAGCCTCAGGCCGAATCCGTGATCTGTAGTCTTCAATATCCAAAGAAAATGGCCTTTCGTTGCCCAAGAAATTACGAATATGTCATCCGTAAATAAATTGGCCCAAATTGATGCTTAACGGATTTATCATCCATGGAGAATAGGATCAATAGATTTCATTATCGGTGGAGGATAGCCTCGGCCGAATTCCGTGATTTGTAGCCTCCAGAATCGAAAGAAAATGGCATTTCTGATAAATTGCCCGAAATCTGTGATGGTACGACTTTGAAATCTGCCAAAAATTGACCCGGAATAAATTCGCCCAAATCGTTGCTTAATGGACTCAATCATCGTTGGAGAATAGCCTCAGGCCAATCCGTGATCTGTAGCCTTCAATATCCAAAGTAAATGGCCTTTCGTCGCCCAAGAAATTACGAAAATGCAATCTGAAAATAAATTGGCCCAAATCAATGCTTAACGAACTTATCATCCGTGGAGAATAGGATCAATAGACTTCATCCGTGGAGAATAGCCTCCGCCTGATTCCGTGATCTGTAGCCTCGAGAATCGAAAGAAAATGGCATTTTGGATAAATCGCTCGAAAATTGTCATGGTACCCCTTTGGAATCTGCCAAAAATTGACCCGGAATAAATCCGGCCAAATCGGTGCTTAATGGACTCAATCATCGTTGGAGAATAGCCTCAGGGCGAACCCGTGATCTGTAGCATTCAATATTTAAAGATAATGGCCTTTCGTCGCCCAAGAAATTACCAAAATGCCATCCGAAAATAAATTGGCCCAAATCGATGCTTAACGGACTTATCATCCTTGGAGAATAGTATCAATAGACTTCATTATCGGTGGAGAATAGCCTCGGCCGGATTCCGTGATCTGTAGCCTCCAGAATCGAAAGAAAATGGCATTTCGGATAAATAGCCGAAATCTGTGATGGTACCCCTTTGGAATCTGCCAAAAATTGACCCGGAATAATTCCGCCCAAATCTGTGCTTAATGTACTCTATCATCGTTGGAGAATAGCCTCAGGCCGAATCCGTGATCTGTAGTCTTCAATATCCAAAGAAAATGGCTTTCGTCGCCCAAGAAATTACGAAAATGCCATCCGAAAATAAATTGGCACAAATCGATTCTTAACGGACTTATCATCCGTGGAGAATAGGATCAATAGACTTCATTATCGGTGGAAAATAGCCTCGGCCTGATTCCGCGATCTGTAGCCTCCAGAATCGAAAGAAAATTGCATTTCTGATAAATCGCCCGAAATCTGTGATGGTACCCCTTTGGAATCTGCCCAAAATTGACCCGGAATAAATTCGCCAAAATCGGTGCTTAATGGACTCAATCATCGTTGGAGAATAGCCTCAGGCCGAATCGGTGATCTGTATCTTTCAATATCCGAAGAAAATGGCCTTTCGTCGCCCAAGAAATTACGAAAATGCAATCCGAAAATAAATTGGCCCAAATCGATGCTTAACTGACTTGTCATCCGTGGAGAATAAGATCAATAGACTTCATTATCGGTGGAGAATAGCCTCGGCCTGATTCCGTGATCTGTAGCCTCCAGAATCGAAAGAAAATGGCATTTGTGATAAATCGCCCGAAATCTGTGATGGTACCCCTTTGGAATCTGCCTAAAATTTACCCGGAATAAATCCGCCCAAATCGGTGCTTAATGGACTCAATCATCATTGGAGAATAGCTTCAGGCCGAATCCGTGATCTGTATCTTTCAATATCCAAAGAAAATAGCCTTTCGTCGCCCAAGAAATTACGAAAATGCCATCTGAAAATAAATTGGCCCAAATCGATGCTTAACGGACTTGTCATCCGTGGAGAATAGGATCAATAGACTTCATTATCGGTGGAGAATAGCCTCGGCCGGATTCCGTGATCTGTAGCCTCCAGAATCGAAAGAAAATGGCATTTCGGATAAATAGCCGAAATCTGTGATGGTACCCCTTTGGAATCTGCCAAAAATTGACACGGAATAAATCCGCCCAACTCGGTGCTTAATGGACTCGATCATCGTTGGAGAATAGCCTCAGGCCGAATCCGTGATCTGTAGCCTTCAATATCCAAAGAAAATGGCCTTTCGCCGCCCAAAAAATTACGAAAATGTCATCCGAAAATAAATTGGCCCAAATCGATGCTTAACGGACTTATCATCCGTGGAGAATAGGATCAATAGACTTCATTATCGGTGGAGAATAGCCTCGGCCGAATTCCGTGATCTGTAGTATCCAGAATCGAAAGAAAATGGCATTTCGGATAAATCGCCCGAAATCTATGATTGTACCCCTTTGGAATCTGCCAAAAATTGACCAGGAATAAATCCGCCCAAATCGGTGCTTAATTCACTCAATCATCGTTGGAAAATAGCCTCAGGCCGAATCCGTGATCTGTAATCTTCAATATCTAAAGAAAATGGCCTTTCGTCGCCCAAGAAATTACGAAAATGCCATTTGAAAATAAATTGGCACAAATCGATGTTTAACGGACTTATCATCCGTGGAGAATAGGATCAATAGACTTCATTATCGGTGGAGAATAGCCTCGGCCTGATTCCGTGATCTGTAGCCTCCAGAATCGAAAGAAAATGGCATTTCGGATAAATCGCCCGAAATCTGTGATGGTACCCCTTTGGAATCTGCCAAAAATTGACCCGGAATAAATCCGCTCATATCGGTGCTTAATGGAGTCAATCATCGTTGGAGAATAGCCTCAGGCCGAATCCGTGATCTATAGCCTTCAATATCCAAAGAAAATGGCCTTTCGCCACCCAAAAAATTACGAAAATGTCATCCGAAAATAAATTGGCCCAAATCGATGCTTAACGGACTTATCATCCGTGGAGAATAGCATCAATAGATTTCATTATCGGTGGAGAATAGCCTCAGCCTGATTCCGTGATCTGTAACCTCCAGAATCGAAAGAAAATGGCATTTCGGATAAATCGCCCGAAATCTGTGATGGTACCCCTTTGAAATCTGCCAAAAATTGACCCAGAATGAATCCGCCCAAATCGGTGCTTATTGGACTCAATCATCGCTGGATCCAAAGGGTTGAGTTGTGGCAGTACATTAGATCCGAACTTTCCTAATAAAAAAACCAATCAAAATATGGTGCTAGCACCCAATCTCCTCTTTTACACAACATTATTCTATTTCTTATATATAAATAGGAGTAAGGGACCTTGTTTTAGCTAGGGTTTGGATTTATTGTGTATATCCTTAATTTGCTCTCTATCTATCCTTTTGACACCTTCTCCCTACTATCACTTTGAATAAGAGTATTATAGAAATCATCATTCCCCCTACGTTATGTTGCTTTCATTAAAGTTTTATATGCAAATTATAGTTTCGATACCCGAGTTTAATAGCTATTAATATTTATTGACTCAAATTAATTTTTTATAGTTAAGTTCTAAAAATATTAACGGAAAAGTACATTTTAGTGTCTAAACTTTTTTCTTTTTACATTTTGATATCTGAAGTTTTTAAATTTACAAATAGGTACACTATTTTGAAGTTCCTGATATGATTTAAGAAACTTTCGGTATGCTTTATAAGGTTTCTGATATGTTTCATGGAACTTGTGGTGTGTTTTAAGAACCTTCTGGTATGCTTTAAAAAACTTGAGGTATACTTTAATAAAGTTGTGATATGCTTTTAGAAACTTGTGGTGTGCATTAATAAACTTGTGGTATGCTTTAATAAATTTGTAATCTATTTTATAAGGTTTCTAGTATGCTTTAGGAGACTTGTGGTATGCTTTAAGAAACTTATGGCATTTTTTCTGGAATTAGTGGTCTGCCTCATGGAACATGTGATATGCTTGATGAGACATGTGGCTTGCTTCAAGAAACTTGTGGCGTGCATTTACAAACTTGAGATATCCTTTATGAGACTTGTGGTAAGCTTCAATAAATTTGTGGTGTGCTTTAAGAAATTGTGGTGTACTTTTATGAACTTGTGGTGTGGTGTGTTGAGGTTGTGCTATACTTTCTAAACTTAGTGAGTGTCTTTTTATTGTGGTGTGGTTTCTTGTGTTTGATGGTTCTCCCAATTAATCCACATTTTCCCCATTTATTCGCACACACATGCTATCCCCCCCCCCCCCCCCACACACACACACACTCCCTAAACTTCATTAATGACCAGTTTGCCCCTCCGTCTCCTCCTCATTAATTGTGATCAATCTATTTAAACTAAAAAGATTTTAAATAAAATATTCCTATCGATTAGAATTGGTGTTAGCACCATGCTAACAATAAAAAGAGTTAAGCACCCTAGCCTATCGTGTTGTCTAGGATCTTGGGTCAGTTTGAGTTTTTAGGGGTTGCATAGACTAAAGCTCACACAACCCAATATTGATCACTAGTTTCCTATTTGAGCAGCCTAGCTCCGTTTAGGTCAGGTTTGTTCTATTGATTGGTTCTATTATTGACTCAATTTGTTCATTAATGTTACTCAACTCTGTCTTAAGTGGTGCTTTAACAACGTGTTAGTTAGGTTCATTCTTAAACTTGACAATAGCTAGCTAGTGAGACTACCTATTTGACTCAAAAAGTCTGAATTCTTAATATAATCAAGTGTGGTAACCAATAAATCGGATTGTCTTCACATTCTAAATGAAACCAACCCATCAGAATACCTTGAACTTTTCATCTATTCCGGTGAAACTAGCTACCAGTATCCAAAAC